GTAATGCTCAAGTTGAGCACGAACACGTACTCAGATTATTTATAACCTCCGCTTACCGAGGCTGAGTAGTGAGTTGACCACGAAACAGATGTGAGCATGGAATCGTCTTCAGGAAAGTTTTATAACCTTGGGGGCATTATTGATGCCTTGAATTTGGTTGGTTGGTTTGTTGTTTATATATTGTGTAAATAATCGAGTCCGGACCAGACAATCCAGTGATCGATATCACGAGCATCGATCCACGCAATTGGGATCGATGACATGCATTAGCCAAGTCAGCGAGCCTGACCGCCCGATCCCGTTTGTCGCCTTTACAACAAGCATAGTCGCCTTTTATGGCAAGCATGGCCGTCATATAGCTGGAATATTGCTGAGTGCGGCGTTAAACAACAACCAAACCAAACCAAACCAAACCAAACCAAACATCCAACAATGGCTAACATTTGACGTCCAAACTAATACATTTTTTTCTCAGCCTTATGCATAAAATTGGCTTATAGATTATATTTCTACAATGAGCTTCAAGAGACATGATAGAAGTAATCCTTGAGGCAGTAACAGGAAATCCTGTTGAGTCGCGCCCAGCCAGACATGAATACTCAGAACACAATGTCACAGTCCACGTCGTGTAATTGGTCATAATAGGCAATTGTTCTCTCTTCCTCTCTCTGTGCATCATGACAAGTGCACTACTTGAAGATTCAGAAACACCATAAACATCATCTTCCGTGTTCAAACATACGACATAATTTCTTACAGTTTAAATATATATTATTAATGTCAAATGTTGTCTCGTCACGATATGGCTGAAGTAATGCCGATGTGGCGTTAAACTTTAACTCACTCACTCACTCACTCACACACTCACTCACTCATTCAAACATAACAATGCATCCAACGTATTATTAACTTGACTTGCAGAACAGTGAGTGAGTGAGTCTGGTTTCACGCCGCTTTTAACAGTATTCCAGTCATACCACGGCGTGTCAGCTTAATGTGGGAGGAAAGCCCGAAGTGATGCAGGTCTCAGACGTTTACCACTTCGGTGAAACCCACGAGCACGGGTATGGTGCTGACAAACCTAGAAACATAATCGGGGCGAACCGGGATTCGAACCCACAATCATAGGTTTCTGGCGTGCCCAAGGGACGCAACTCTGCACAGCGAATCGCGGCGCCTTAGACGACTGGGCCACCCGTGCCCCCGACGTGCAGAACAACTGAAATGAAATACTAAGCGTATCATTACAATACCAGCTGCACTTGAACATTATCCTTGTGACAGTTCTTCCTTGTCAGAATGAGTTGATTCATTTGTGATGTGAAGCCAACTTGGATCATGTTCAAGGGATCATGTTCAAACATAATAAGTACATCTGTGTTAGTTTCTTCTGTTATGAATCAGTGTGTTTGTTTGTTGTTTAAGGCCGCACTCAGCAATTCCAGTTTTTTTACGGCGGTCTTTAAAACTATTTATAGAAGAACCCACGAGGTACGAGTGATTACGGAAAATATGTCACGAGTTGAATTAATGTTATAAGTTCCGAGCTTTAGCTTTAGAGGTTGAATTAAGCGAATAACTCTTCCTGTCAGATCTCCGTCCACTTTAACGAGGTCATTCACTTTGACAGGTGTCAAATGGTCAGCAATTGTTGTTTACACACAACGCAGACGTAGTTTTGTGAGTGAGTCAGTATGATTTTACGCCGCTTTTAGCAATATTCCAGCAATATCACGCTTTAACCACTAGGCTACTTGAACGCCCTTCATCAATGATAGAGTGTCCCGGAAGTTAACGTCACTTTAACGAGTATTTCTCTCAGTCTTTTCAGTTTGGTGAAACCAACGCGCACCGATATTGTGCTCACAATCATAGGTTTCGATCCCACATATATAGGTTCAGGTCACGCCAAAGTGATGCTACTCTGTACATTGGATTGCGACGACTATGTATGAACTGTATGACTTAGATACGTTATAGAACAGTTGTCAAATAGCTAATGAGCAAGGCAATACCAAGCAATGCGACCCGACAAAGTATGTACACTGAGATACGATACGTTGAACACTGTGCTATGAACCAGGAACAAAATCAACATTTAACAACACCCACCACAAGAAGAACACATTAAGAACAAGGAAGTTATAGTAGATCTCCTTGTCAGGTCACGAGATAATTTTGTCTTTGTCTTAATAATGAAGGGGCGGTCGTGTAGCCTAGTGGTTAAAGCTTTCGCTCGTCACGCTGAAAACCCGGGTTCGATTCCCGACATAGGTACAATGTGTGAAGCCTATTTCTGGTGTCCCCCGCCGTGATATTGTTGGAATATTGCTAAAAGCGGCGTAAAAGCATACTAACTCACTCAATTAATAATGATTTTTAAAATATGTTTTACAATTATTTTTTTATAAGTATCATGATATGATTGTGAACTGCTTCATGACATTTTTTAATGATAATAATTTGAATTCAATATGTGCGTAATTATGTACTGGTATGTTGGTGTCAGCGGATTAAAGGGCAGGATAAATAATTGTGTAACTGAATTTAGTTATGTTTTGTAAATCGTAGAATCACACAATCTTGAATTTTCTGGGTGTACATGCTTTTTAATTTTGATATGATAAACTATTTTGTTCTATTTATGTTGTCAAATGTGGTCCTTAAAATGTGTGGAGGACAAAATTATGTCCGATGCAATTCCTTATTTTGACTTGTACCATATGTTCCGTGTTGTGTTTTTCAGGTGAACAATTGACTTACCTTTGCATGTGTTTGTGACGGCTAGATGGGCAGGATACGCTCACCTTTTCGCCGCACCTGGTGTCATCACGATTGGATAGTGATTCATAAACACCTGCTCAAGATACAGTCTAAATCGTACAATCGACTCTGCTTTTAGCACAAATTTCTTATAAATATGGAAAGGGTTTTGTCGTTTCTATTTATCCGAACTTGGATGATCTGATACTCTTTGCCTTCATCAGAGAGTGCCGCCTCCGTGGTCTAGTGGTAGAGCGTCCGCCCGGAGAGCGGAAGGTCCAGGGTTCGATCCCCGGCCGCGTCATACCAAAAGACGTTAAAAGATGGTACTTGTTGTTACCCTGTCTGGCGCTCGACATTAAGGGGCTAAAACAAGGACTGGTCGGCTCGGAGTCAGTATACTGTGTCTGAGTGGGGTATTCATGTTAAACTGCGGCATGGTATCTCAGTATGTTAGCACTATAAATCGGCATCAGTCCAGACTAGTACAAGCAGCCACACACACACACGTGCATGCACGTCGCTATATAAGTGCAATAATCTTGGACGCGACGTTAAACCCAATTTCACCTCACCTCACCTCATCAGAGAGTGTTTGCTTCATGTAATTCTGTATGCATAGTACACGTACACATTATTCAATACATAATTATGTATCATTTCCAGCAATTTGTTTCCCTAACGATGACAAAATCGTTATGTTCTCAACTCGATGAAATAAAACGAAAACCAGGCGACGCCAACTGAACAACTTTGGGGAGTCTAAATACCGATATTAGACCGCGCGAGCCCTATGGAGGAATTCAGCCTTGGATGTACTGTCTGCATGTGGGTACTTCCGTTTGTGGGACTGAACTCATTTACAAATATTAAAAGTATGTTTTCGGGTTATATTTGAGAAACAAAATTGTTACAGTATTAAACCATACGCTGTACACTGTACCAGCATGCATGACGTTGTTCAGAAATGTCTGTCGAATTGCATGCAACAAACATACCGATCTCTTATTGAATAATACATTCTTCCAAAATGTTACTGAGTGACGGTTAGAACAGTATGCCCTTTATATCACGGCGTGTCAGCTAAATGTGGCAGGGAAGACCGAGGTTATGCAGGTCTTAGACATTGCACACTTCAGTTAAACCGACGGGCATGTATGGTGCTGACAAACCAAGAAACATAAGTGAGTTGGGTTTAACGCCGCTTTTAACAGTATTCCTGTTATATCACGGTGTGCCAGCTTAATGTGACAGGGAAGCCTGAGGTTATGCAGGTCTTAGACATTGCAAACTTCAGTTAAACCGACGGGCGTGTATGGTGCTGACAAACGAAGAAACATAAGTGAGTTGGGTTTAACGCCGCTTTTAACAGTATTCCTGTTATATCACGGCGTGTCAGCTAAATGTAGGAGGAAAGCCTGAAGTGATGCAGGTCTTAGACATTGCACACTTCAGTTAAACCGACGGGCGTGTATGGTGCTGACAAACCAAGAAACATAAGTGAGTTGGGTTTAACGCCGCTTTTAACAGTATTCCTGTTATATCACGGCGTGTCAGCTAAATGTAGGAGGAAAGCCTGAAGTGATGCAGGTCTTAGACATTGCACACTTCAGTTAAACCGACGGGCGTGTATGGTGCTGACAAACCAAGAAACAATCAGGCCGAACCGGGATTGGAATACACGTGTTCCTGGCACTTCAAAGGGACGCAACTCTGAACAGCGTTTTGAGGCGCATTAGAAACATATTCGGGTCAAACCGGGATCCAGACACACGCCAATAAGGTTCTGGCAAGGATTAAGGTGTGCCTTAGGGTGTTTCGAAATAAATGGAAGTTGATTTCTTATAAACATGTAACATTGGTGACAACGGATAGATATTTGCCAAGAAAACGTCGACGGCGTTTGCCTCCGACAGTTTAATGCAAAAAAAATTTGATTGAGTGAGTGAGTTTGGTTTTTACGCCGCGTTTAGCAATATTCCAGCAATATCACGGCGGGGGATACCAGAAATGGGTCTCACACATTGTACCAATGTCGGGAATCAAACCCGGGTCTCTCGGCGTGACGAGCGAACGCTTTAACCACTAGGCTACCCGACCGCCCCGATTTCAACTTTAGACAACCGTATCGTATTACTATGTGTTTGTGTCATGAATGTGAACGCGGAGTCGGAACAGCACTTATCCTTTGCCTCAAGCAACCCATTAACATACTCATCAGGATGGAGAGGTTCAACTCAGAGTCAAAAATTATAAAGTAAACACATTGTCGTATGACTTCCTTTTAGATTCATTTCGTGAACAAAACTCCCACATGACAAACGAAGGTTGGAGAACAGTCGCAGGCTGACGAGGATCCGGAGAAAGAGGTAAGTTTTGATGGAAATTGATATCGAAGTATAAACTGAAGAAGCATTTGCTTTATTCATTCCAGAATATGAAAGAAAGTGAGAATTATTTTACTTCAAAATTTGTCGCACAAGCAAACAGAGGTGTAACGACAAAACGACCTATCAATACATAAAAACATAAAGACAAGGTAAATTTCAATGGTAGTATGGATGCCGTGCTACCTTATTGATAGAGTGAGTGAGTATGGTTTTACGCCGCTTTTAACAATATTCCAGCAATTTCACGGCGGGGGACACCAGAAATGGGTCTCACACATTGTACCCATGTACCCATGACAAGAACATGACATACAAAACATGAATCATTTTATTTTTTTTAATCAAGGTGCTCAGATGATTTGAAGCACTCTGCAAGGTAACACCCGTTTTATTACAATATAGATATTGATTATCGATCAGATCGTCTTGACTGGGCGCCTCCATTTTGTTCACACACACACACACACACTCACTCACTCACTCACTCACTCATCTGGAGATCCGTTATCTCGAATATACCGATATCTCGAACTATTCTCCGGTCCTTCCCGCCTCACTCTATTAATGCATTTGCTATACCTCTATTAAAAATCTTGCAATATTCCATTGGTTCATCCGTACAACGTGGCGAAATGAAATTATACATTTCAATGAAAACCTTATAAAAGTCTTCATAACTTAGATTTCGGTATAACGAAAACGAAACATTACAGCAGGCACGGGTGGCCGAGTTGTCTAAGGCACCGCGATTCGCTGTGCAGAGCTGCGTCGCTTGGGCACGCCAGAAACCTACGGTTGTGGGTTCGAATCCAAATTATGTTTCTAGGTTTGTCAGCACCATACCCGTGCACGTGGGTTTCACCGAAGTGGTAAACGTCTGAGACCTGCATCACTTCGCGCTTTCCTCCCACATTAAGCTGACACGCCGTGATATAACTGGAATGATGTTAAAAGTGGCGTTAAACACTACTTTTGACGAGGTCAATATGCGAAAACAAGCACCAACCTCTTCGGCGGCCTCGGTCCTGTCAGACCACCTCAGGTCCCTTGTTTTCGCATATTATTGACCTTTTCTCGATACAAAGATCGAGAGAAAAACACATGGTGCAATCAAGAAGCTTAGACTCGGTCCCAACTTTATCATAATCTGTTGTACCTTTATCTTGAAGTTCATCACTTTTGAGAAGAAGCATTTCAGATGGTAGTGAGAAATTCTCTTAGATATATCCATGATATGATTTAGGATAGGGGTGTGTGTCTATGTGTTTTTATGTTTGTCCCCGAAAATAGTCAGTTGCAGTGATTTATTTGTTTTCAGTGGCAAAGTTACATGCGGATACATGTCTATATAAGCAATATCCAGACCATGACCAACGTCAATATCCTGGTACTGTTGTCTATCGCTGCGATACAAGGTAGGATCAAGATTCATTGCTTTTCTGTACAGATGTTAAGGTTCTCTTTGCCATATGTATACATACATTCCTTATATATTTCCAACCATATTGTGAGAAATGGCAATATGATTCGACGACAATCCTTAGTTGACATCTTCAATCTAATATTGAGAGACAGCTACAATTATGTCTCATAAAATTAAGAAATGGTCACTGGAGATTGGGTTTAAATTCTATAAAGCGAAGGCAAACTGTATCGAATTTTTCGAAAATATAACCCACAGAATGACCCTGAACCCTATTTTTGGCTGGTATCCTATTATTTGACTTTAGTTCTCATTTCAAAATGGGGAGGGGATCAGACAACCCTCCTTCATTTATATCGTTCTCTTATCCGTTCCAAACTCGATTATGGCTCCATAATTTAGGGGTGGGGGGCTGCAAAAGCAACTTACAAATATTACATTCAGTACATCATCAAGGCCAGTCGATAGCTTGTGTGTGGAGGCTGATATACCATCTCTCAAGCAATGTCGAATTGAACTTTCATTGAACATGTTACTAAACTACACTCAAATCTCTCTAAACCAGTATATGATTGTGTGTATAATCCCATGAATGAAACATTATATCAATCAAAACCCAAACTTGTTCAACCTCTAGGGTACAGAGTTAAGCCACACCTTATCGCAGCTAATGTCGATCTTTACACTATCTCGCCATCCCAGCTGCTGTCTACACCTCCTTGGCAAGTAGTTTAACCGGAGGTAACCTAAGACCAACTTCCCTAAACATATCTGACACAAACCAATTGGTCTGTCAACAAGATAATGCCAAAATATGAGTCTCATGGCTCTGTTTTTATTGATGGTTCCAAGAATGGTTTGATTGTTTGTCATGCCTTTAGGCAATACACAATTGTTCTCCCAATCATTCGTTGATACTGTAAATCGTGAAATTAATGCGTCTCCAAAAGAATGCGACCGCTGGACCCTAGTCAATTATGCGACTCAATATGAATGCGACACCCCCCTCCTCTCAAGCATTAGTGGATTTATATCTAAAGAAAATGTCCTCTGTCAGGTTTACAGGAGAATCCTCACCCTCATCCAACCTTACGTTAATCCAATCACACACCAAATAGCACCGCTCATTAGCACTGATTAGAGTACTTCCGCTAAAACAATACATGCGCGCTGGCTCGTGTCGGCCTCTGACGCAGTCACAAAGAACAAAGACACCGTGTTGTGTGGGTGGCGTCTGTCTGGACTTGCAGGTGTGATCAGTGATGACATAAGTGAGTAGAACTCTTGTCTTGACCCCAGCAGTGACAATTCACAGGATGTAATTAGTGTTTGAATGGCATTGTTTATATACTTATTACAAGAGCTGCTAAAAAAACAGTGGTATTTCTGCTATCCAAAATGTCTTATTGTTGATATAAATGCGTTGTTTAATAATGCGAGCAAAGACCACTCGCATTTTTCGCATTTAATTCACGCTCGCGTTAATTTTAAGATTTACACTACTTGAAATTTTAGAATTGACTAATATTCTCGCCACTGGCCAAATACGACATCGTCCTTTGCTGGTTGCCCAGTCATGTTGGAATTGCTGGTAACACTAGGGCTGATGATACTGTGGCAAAGGCAGCACTCAACAAATAAGTAACACCACTTCTTTTACCATATACAAACCCATGATTAGATGCTACATCAAAGATATAATTCAAAAGGAGTGGAAAAAATCAACCCTAGGTCATACCTCTTTGGATTGCCATTCGACACATGCAAAGTTGTTTTGCGACGATTTCGTATTGGCCACAGTCGATATTCCCATGAATATATACTCTTCAAAAAAAGAAACTTGACATTGACTTTCAAAATGTAATATAATGCGATTGTTTCAAAATAGGACACAGAAACCATAACTGTAACACTGTTTGAAGATCAATGTACACAATGTTCAAAACATCAATCGTGTCACCTAGACAGACACACGTACACGATACAGTTAATGTCACAGGGGTACAGAAAATGTCAGTATCGGTTGTACCCACCACGTGCATCAATCACCGCTTGACACCGACGACCCATAGATGCAATCAAGTTGTCAATAACACGCTGTTGGATGTGCTGCCATTCATGCTGAAGTGCATCAAGAAGCGCCGAAAGTGTTTGGGGCGGTGGATTCCTTCTGCGAACGCGTCGATCCAACTCGACCCACAGATGCTCAATCGGGGACAAATCTGGTGACCGGGCTGGCCAAGGTAATGTCTGGATGTTGTTGTGCTGAAAGAAGTCCTGACAAACACGTGCAATATGCGGTCGAGCGTTGTCCTGCTGGAACTGTCCGCCATGAACTTTGACGTGAGGAAGAACGTAAGGCTGTAGGATCAAGACTCTGTAACGCACACCTTTCAATGCACTTGCCACATGCACGAGAGGCGTCCTACCACCGTGATGAATTCAGGCCCATACCATGACACTCCCGCCGCCAAATGGGACAACCTGCTGCACACAGTTGGGGACGTAACGTTCACCCCGACGTCTGTAGACACGTGCGCGCCCATCAGCACGTGTGAGTAGGAAACGGGACTCGTCAGTAAACAGTACATTTCTCCACATTGCACGCGCCCATCTAACCCTCTGTTGGCACCAAAGCAGACGGTCCGCCAGATGACGTGGGGTCAATACATGACGTCGAACAGGTCTTCGTGCAAAAAAGTCCAGCCTCCCTCAGTCTGTTGCGTACCGTTTGATCTGATATTCTGCGTACCCCAGGGATCTGTGTGGTTGTAGACGTGGCTGTGGTAGTGCGGTCTCGGAGGTGTCGCAGCCGGATGTATCGATCTTGTGCTTGGGTTGTCACCCTTGGTCTTCCTGACCTTGGTCTGTCGTCAACTCTGTTGGTGTTGTTGTATCGGGTCCACAGTGCGGAGATTTTCTGTCTGGATACGCCAAAGTGCCTGGCCACTTCTTGCTGAATTGCTCCAGCTTGTAATCTCTCAATGGCGTTGTTCCGTTGAGCTGCATTCAGTCTTGGCATTCTGTCACCGCCTCTACTGCCGTTATAAGGACTGTATGAACAGCCGTTGATGTGGATTTTTATACCAATTCAGCAAGGGGGCCTGCATGCCTAAATGCAGGATCCTGTGCTGCACGTTTTTTACGGGCGGTTGCGTTTGGATGAAGCTGTAAATTGATCCCCAAACGCTACGTGTATGTGCTTTGCATGTGTTTTCGCGAATCTTAGACACATCATCTTTCTGTTTGACTTATTTGGTTCTCATTTAATGTAATAATTTGAGATATTTGGCAAAAAGTGGTTTTACATCTATGTCAAGTTTCTTGAAGAGTATATATTGAAAGTTGAGGATCCTCTGTTTTGTGTACCTTGTGATGAGAGAATGACAGTGAAGCATGTTTTGCTTGACTGTTGATTTTTTCTCTCACAAGAGATAACTATTATCATTTGACACCTTTTTTTATATCAGGTTTGTTTCATATCTGATATTTACCTTACTGTTTTAGTGTCCTTTTAATTTCTGATCGCGATATGGCTGCAATATTGCGATGTAGAATGTTAACCCACTCACTAACTCTCATTCATTCCTAAACATATATAAAAATATATACAGTGACTGCAAGTATGAAAGCGTCGTTTTTAACATATATAGGCATTGGACGCTTTTCGGCGCTCCCTAAACGCGTCGAAAATTGATATCGGAATTTAGTGCGACAGTACGATGTTATCAAAATCCTCATTTTCTTGACTGACAAATTTGATTGAACTACAGCGTTTACATGTATTTCATTGGTCAACTATCGCATGTTAGATTACACGTTTGATGCATGGAGACTGTTTGCTTTCTTGCTCAAATTTGCCTTTCTGTGTGTTAAGCAATTTTGAAGATTGTTTACAGCAAAATTCTTTATCTAACTCATTGTAACTGCTGCAAGCTTTCATCCTATTTGCCCATTAAATATTGCAATGATATTGCAAAGGTAAGAATTTTAGTCAAGATCAGTTGGACAAAGACAAGGCTCAGAATTGGCTATCGAACATAGATAATACTTACGCTGTCAAACATATATATATAACCAAACAAATATCCAAATGCAAATGATCTGCTGTGCTCTCTGGTTTGATTAGCTCACTTTCCCTGCCAGAGGAACCTGTTGTCTCTACCTGCATAGTCTGCCCTGCGTCTTTCCCTGCAGTTGGCCAGAGCCCTAGGCCCGAACCAACCAGCAGAGGCGGTCTGTGGTGGGACAGATTCATACTGAATTGGGCTGCCAAGCTTAAAGTGGACGGAAGCTGTTCAGTGAGAGACTTGGATAGATCTAAGGAAAAGGCCAAAGTCAGTATCACCTGGTATCAGAGACGTCACAGGTGCTCCCAGAAAGTTGTTGATAACATCACAGGGCTGGCATAGAGATCCAAAATCCGGATTTCCTGCGGGGCCTACTCCTATAGCCTCAATGCAGCGAGGATTCAATATTTGAGTTTCCTATTAAAACCCCTCACCCCGAAGTGTATGTTTTGAGGCGTGTAGAAATAATGCCATGTGAATTTTTGAAATCCCCGAAAAGTACTACATTTAATTTGGCCACGACTATCCCACAATGATAAACTTAAGAAAAACCTTCATACTTTGATCCGGCCCGTGAAGATTCGGGGTAGAATAGGTCTTCAACAACTCATGATTGATGTGAGAGGTGACCATCGGGATCGGGTGGTCAGGCACGCTGACTTGGTTGATGCATGTCATCGTATCCAAATTTCCTGGATCGATGCTCATGAGGTCAATCACTTGATTGTCTGGTCCACACTCGATTATTTACAGACCGCCATCATATAGCTGGAATATTGCTGAGTGCGGCGTTAAACAACATGAACACAATCATACTTTGATCCAAGGTGCTTTTTTTACAAAACGTTGTGACCATACATATGGTTACATATCTATCTTCAGAGGTTTGGAACAATTTGCAAAAATGAAAGGAAATGCCACCCAAAGCTGTACTTCCTCGTTGACAACAGTTTTGGGGTAAGACATTTTGGCAAGAAGTAGGCATCTCCATGGGCACCAATTGTTCTCCCCTTCTTCCTGGTCTGTGTCTTCATGGAATTTCTGAACGGATTGGCAATATTGAACCAAGAGAAACTGGCCACTAAGTGTAACTTCAGGTACATCGAAGATATGATATCGTATCATGACAGTCAAAAAGTCAGTTCCCGTCCACTGATTTACTCACTCGAACCAGAAATACAGGAGACCATGGCCAGTCAGACCGCCTCGTCTGTTTCATAGTAAGATCTTGCATAAGACTCAAACATCTCCACAAGACTGTGTGACAAGACGGATGACTTTAACTTTCCTTTATGTCGAGCAATATTCAAGCACCTCAAGCTTTTGGAGTCAACATTTCACAACTTCTGGGGTACAAGTGAACATGTCGAGAACATCTTTATATACTTACGAATACAAGCAACTGCTTCAAGTAAGGTTGAAAATAAATATAAAATTATTCTGAAATAAAAACATGCACCATTCAGACATGGCTCAATACTAAAGTTGGGGGCACGGGTGACTCAGTCGACTAAGGCGCCGCAATTCGCTGTGCAGAGTTGCGTCCCTTGGGCACGCCAGAAACCCATGATTGTGGGTTCAAATCCTGCTTCGCCCCGATTTTGTTTCTAGGTTTGTCAGCACCATACCCGTGCTCGTGGGTTTCACCGAAGTGGTAAACGTCTGAGACCTGCATCACATCGGACTTTCCACCCACACCAAGCTGACACGCCGTGATATAACTGGAATACTGTTAAAGCGGCGTTAAACACAACTCACTCACTCGCTCAATACAAAATTGTCAGACCTTTTTATTTTTATCAAAACATATCTTTGGAGACGTTATCTGCAGCAGGGCAAAACTCATGACTTGCCACGGACCGGTCGTCCACGAATGACCGTCAACAGGACAACCATATTCGGTTGGTGCATCAACGGAATCGACAACCGGCAGGTACATAAGCATCTCGGACAATTCCTTGGTTTGGGACAATTACTGGCTGAACTGTACGCAACTGGTTTATGGAGTACAACATCCACATCTGACGTCCAGCAGGTCGTCACATTTTGCTTCCACGCCACCGCCAGGTGCGCCTAGTTTGGTGTAGACATCATACGAGGTTCCGAAGACAGTATACCATTCACAGATGAGTACAGCTCTGATGGTCGTGTAGGTGTCTACAGACGTCCAGGATAAAGTTTTAGCGACGCTTGCGTTACAGTTTGGGGGTGTGCGTGTAATGGTATAGCCGTCCTCTGTTTCATTGCAGTGATCATTATGCGAACCACGAAATGTTACTACCAGACAGCATCTTGTTTTCTAGCAGATGAGTCAATATTCATCACAAGACTGGTCAATACTGATCAAGTGACGAGTCAATATTTGATGTCTGTGTAAAGTCACGTGATTTGGGGGTCTTCATTGAAATGTATTGCCACGTGGTACGGAAATTGAGGCGCCCAGTCAAGACGATCTTATTGATGATCATTATCTATATTGTAATAAAACGGGTGTTGCCTCGCGAAGTGCATCAAATCATTTGAGCACCTTGATTAAAAAATTCATGTTTTGTATGTCTATCTGTGTTTGTTGTTTTTGTGTGTGTGTGTGTGTGTGTGTGTGTGTGTGTGTGTGTGTGTGTGTGTGTGTGTGTGTGTGTGTGTGTGTGTGTGTGTGTGTGTGCGTGTGTGTGCGTGTGTGTGTGTGTTCAATTATGATCGTCACACACCTGCAAGATTATTATGCCTCATAAAATGTGAGTTTACCGACAAACCAGGTATGTTTTGCTTAATTTGAATCCTGCTGCGCCAACATCGTTCTATGCGGCATATTTGTTTATTTACTTGAAGTGTCAAGTCAGAATACGTCAGCTGTGTTCACCGGTAACCTTTGCCACCATCCAACGGAGATCAGAAATCTGATATTGCAAGCTATACCTGACCCACTAAACTCTTTAACGTGTCATGTGTGTTTGAGGCAAGTCTCCAACTCATTGGCTTTTTATTCGATCCTTAGTCCAATGGCGGAACATAGTGACGTTTTCTTGTTTGCAGTGCTGATGAAATTCAATCCTGCATTTAACACTTGTTCTTTTTTATATCATTTCATTGTCATGTTGATAATAACATAGACTAAAGCGTGCCAATGTTGTTGTTTTCTGTCAGTAGAAAAACATTGACCGAAAGACCGAAAATATTAACATTTGAGCTTAAATGAAGGTCAATGACCTGTATTAATGTAATCCACTCATTCAAAATGACAGATTCTTGAAAGTCATTTGTGTTGTGTTCACCGCCTGGGTTCCCTGTAGTCTGCAGTGGACTCCGTACCCGCCTTGTTCCTGGTCCTAATGCCGGACGTCTCGAGGTCTACTATGGGGGATCATGGGGAACGGTGTGTGATGATCGATTTGGTCAACCCGATGCTGAGGTAGCCTGTAGAGGACTTGGACTTGGGCTGTATGTATCAATAATATGTTTACATTTTATTTATTTTTTATTTTTTGTGGGGGGTCATCACCGATTTCCATTCAGAATTAAATGTCATCACTATTTTGCAATTATGGGCCCAATAGAATCTGTTTCGGTAGTTTAATGGAGATCATTTATACTCTGTCGTCGTTTTGAAAATACAAGTCCGTATATATTGGTTGACATGGGTTTTCATTGGTATGTATGCTATCTGTATTTAAATGCATATATTGGGTTCTGGCATGGTCATTCATTTACCGTTCTTTAATTCTTATGTATTACCATCTTCACATTCCAGAAAACATGTCTATGTCAAGGGTTTAGCTTATTTCGGACAAGGCAGTGGCAACATCGTGATGGATGATGTTGGATGCAGTGGCACTGAAACCTCCATAGACTTATGTTCACACAGAGGGTGGAACTCTCACAACTGTCACCATTCCGAGGACGTTGGTGTAGCTTGTTTCGCAGGTGCTTGCACATTTATATCTGAACATATTTGTCGGCGGCTCTAAATCAAAGACGTATCCACAAATGAATTTCCTAATTATTTTAATCCTTATGATGCAGGTCCAAAATGGTTGTCATCGACTAAATTAATCAATAAATTCCTTAGCGATAGTTTTGGTATTCTAACTACTTTTTTGACACGTTACGTATAACTGCTTCCAAAAGCATCAACAAAACCCATACATTATCGATAAAGACACAAAATGCATCACTTTGGTTACATCATCAGGACTATCAATTCGCACTCTAATTGACGCAAGATCCCAACTCGTTAACCAGATTATAAAACAAATATTTCATTAGTAATAATACTCCAAAAGAGTTAACTACAATGATGTTACCTCTAACCAATATCATTTTCTACCACAAATACATGTATGCCTTTCTTCTCTCCTTTTCCCATGATATCATTAGTAGACTACAGATAGGCATAACCTAAAAGTCTCTGCATTGTCTAAGAACAACAAGTGAACGTATCTCATAGTATGTGCCATATTCAAATGTATATTACAAACAGTAATTCTTCTATTTTAACAGACAGTTCCGGGATTCAGAAGCATACCAACGTTTCATTAGACTTGAGCACTGTGCGGGTCTTCTCAGGAAGTACCGTTACGATCATGTGCAGTGTACGTTCTATAGTGGACGGTCCATACTCCTTGACATGGTCTACCAATGGCTCAAGTTTCGGAACATCCTCTACCTTTAACTGGCGGCTTGTAAACGTGGACAATAATCAAACACTGACGTGTCTTGTGGACAAAGATGGACAAAGATTAGGAAATGCGTCTATTTTCCTGTCTGTTTTGTGTGAGTTTATATTGGTTTAAAAATTATCATATATACACATACACGTATGCCACCCACCATATTTGTGAGCTGTTACTTTTGGCACTTAATGATGACTTTTATAACGAGATGTACGATTGTCATAAGCCGTATATGTAAACCTCATGTGATGCAAAAGTTGCCCCAAAGCAAGTTTATCTTGTGTTCGAAAAGAATATGAGCAGAAAGGAATTTTACCGAAGACCAGAAGGATTAGAAAACATTGAACAACTTTTTTTGACTGTCATGATATCAGCTGGCCATATCAGGTGTCACATAGACACCCTAGGGAGTGCAGAGTCTATTGCAAGACAGAAACGTCAGTGACGTGTGTATGATCCACGGACATTGACCACAGCTTCAACACTACGCCTCATACTCATTACAAGTCGTTGAATGCTTCTCTGAGGCAAACGGATCCATTCTTCATGAAGTGTGGCTTCAGTCCAACGAGATTTTGAACTTGGGGATCACGATGTCTGATTTTCCGGCCAAGAATGTACCAGAGATGGTCAATTGGATTAAGATCCGGACTACAGGCCAGCCAAAGAAGAGTGGCAATAGCTTCTTGACGCAAATATGCCAAAACTGCCCAAGATCTGTGTGGTCTAGCATTGTCGTCCATGTAAACAGGTCATGTCTGAAGAGGATGGTTGTCAAAATGAGGGACTACCACTGGACGAAGAACGGCATCTTGGTATTGTTGGCCATTCAGGTTTCCACGAATTGTCACCAGCGGAAGTTTGCAGCCGAAGGAAACACAACCCCCTATCATGAGAGTCCCCCGCCACATGCTAAGGTCTTCTGGATGTTCCTTGGTGCAAAACGAGTGTTACCTTGCCTCCAAACACGTATTCGACCATCAACAGTTCGTAGCAGCATTCGACACTCGTCAGACCAATGGATCCTTCTCCAGTTGGCGTAGTCCCATCGACTACAGGCACGACACCATATCAGACGATTCCGCATGTGCCTCTCAGTCAGTTGAGGACGTTTTACTGGTCTTCTGGCGTTATAACCAGCCGCTCTGAGGCGACGCCTTACGGTCATCGTCGAGAGTCTCTGATGCGTAATCCACTGCAGTCTTAAATCTGTTGAAGTGGCAAATGGATTTCGTCTGACTATCCTGAAAAGACGTCTATCCTCTCTGTTAGCGGTCTTTCTTGGCCTACCAGACCTATGCCTGTCATTGACATCATTGGTTTGACCATGTTTGGCAACCCATGTGATGACGACCCATTTGTCTTGCAATGACCCTGCATGACATGCCAGCATTTTTCATGCCTATCACTTGCCATCTTTCAGCGTTCGTTAACTTTCTCCTCACCATGGCTGATTTTCAACCCCTATTGGAAGGGGAATCTCACACAGGAGCAAAATGCCATCACGTGTCTGAAACTTGAATTTCACTATTTATAGGGTAGGGGAACTGCAGCAACACGTAAAGCACGCTTTCCTTGTGGTATCTGGACACATTTGGGTTCATGAATCTATGGAAGCCTAAATCAGTAATACGTCATCATATTTCGTATTTCTGATTCCCACACGTGAATCAAGAGACTATGAATATGGTTGCGCTTAACTTTTGTGCATGTGTATATATGCAAAACCACAACAAGCTAATATATAAAAGCGACAAAACCATTTCCAAATTCATAGGAAACATCTGACAAAAGCACTTATAGTGATGATAGCATGACTTGGATGAAGCCAAATGTACAGAAAGATCAAAATGATGTTATGTGAGTGCTTGATTACCTATGTTATTCTTATTGAACTTTTGGCTTTATCCAATTAACTGTATGCTACTAGTTATCTATTACCTGTTGTCAAAGATAATCTGCTGCTTTTCACAACATGTCATACATGTCTCTCAACGCTTGGTTGTTGTTACTCCAGCTTGTTAACGGTGTAAGAATCTACATCGAAACGTCGCTATATGCAAAACATCAGTAGTTGTTATCCATAAAGTTGTCCGTTTTCTCAATAAGCATACTGATTCAACACATCATGACTCTCTTGCAGTATGCACACAGTTTCAAAGTGACTAAAAGCTTCTAAACCATTATCATAATCTAATGTAAGATTCCGACTATATCGTAATCATGTTTTCGCGAAAAGGCGAAGGAAGCGATGTGATATTTAGATATGTTCTCTGAACATCCATTACTATCGCTACATGTGACACATAAATCTACTTCAGACCCTCCGGTCGTGTCCTGTCAACGGGAATATCATGTCCCATATGATACATCTGTGACAATCAGTTGTTCAGTGGATGCCTCGCCCCAGCATGACAGTATTTCCTGGTGGCAGACAACTCCGACCAGACAACTACTTGGGACAGGAACATCGTCATCATTCACTATGGAGAGGGTCACAGCTTCACAATCCATTGTTTGTACGGTTGTAAACACAATGGTGAATAATGAGGGTGAAAACCGAACTGGGAACACTTCCTGTGAAATGAACATCAGAGTACAACGTCAGTGTACATTCATTGCCTAATAATTATATATTTTGTTTTATACTTATGCTTGTCATAAGAGGCGACTAATGGAATCGGGTGGTCAGACACGCTGTCTTGATTGATGCATGTCAACGTATCCCATTTGCGTAGATGATTGTTCATGATGTCAATCACTGGGTTGTCTTGTCCGGACTCGATTATTTACAGAACGTCGTCATATAGCTGTATTATTGCTGAGTAGTGCGTTAAACAACAAACAAACAAACATTGTGCATGATTCAAAATCAAATGTACAGTCATACTATCTGGCACCAACACGTTCAGAGTATCGTTCAGGATCTCTCTGCAAGACAAATTAGCGGCAGCTTGCACACGGTCCATTCAGTGCTGATGTGAATGTGAAGGATAGAATGAAATACATTCGAAGAGATATGTATCGTTAAACACTGGCACGAGGCTTAATGACCAAGCATGAACTAAGTAGGTTTGTGAAAAGTAATAACAAGGTCATGGAATAGGGTGATGCAACATGTTGCTGATCGTGTTAAAGATAAGTAGTAATATCCTTTTCTATGTATATATACACTTCTTAGACCATCTCAATATGGTGCGATGTTCAAATTCACATAAGCATGTAAATAAACACATGCAAAGGCAAGTCAATTGTTCACCTAAAAGAACACTGGAACAAAATAGGGAATTGCATCAGACGTCATTTTTGGCACTGACCTATTGAACTATGTAACTGAACAATTTTGTAAAGAACTATTTATTAGCTTTATTTAGCGTTAACCGTAATTCAAGTTCTTATTTATTAAAGCTTTCCGTACCCGTCTTGCACAAGGGTCAGCTAGTGGGCGACTTGAGGTGTATAGTCGGACGTGGGGAACAGTCTGCAGCAACAACTTCGATGACAATGATGCCAGGGTAGCCTGTAGAGGACTTGACCTGCCTACGTAAGACCAAGGAGCAGATAATCATTCCAATTGAGAATTTACAGTGGACCACACATGAAACATTAATCTGATAATAAAAGCAACACAACTTTTTCATATATACAGGAAAGCCAGTGTGCGATCCAGATTATGTAATTAGTAGGTGTTTATGAATCAGTATTAAATCGTGATGATACCCTGTTTTTAACGAAAAGGTCAGCGTATCCGTCCTAAACGGTGGTACCCGTCACAAGTGCCTGTATAATTTTATCTAAACATTATGTGTACTGAAAGTGACAGGACAATAAATACATGTGTACCAAGATTCCTATTTCAATCTTGCAGTTCATATTCGTATGCTGTATCAGGCGCATTCTTTGCAAGTGGATCAGGACCTGTCTTGTTCAACTATAACGGATGTGACGGAAATGAGTCATCACTTAATACCTGTCCACGACATGATTCAAGTGATTCACCCTGCACACACGAGGATGTCGGGGTCCTTTGTGCTGAGCGTGAGCCTTTTTTGCAATTCGCAGTATTTCAAAGTACTTATATTGTTCTTAAGATTGGATATTACAATTTAAATATTTAGGGTTGCTGTCATTTGATAATGACCTCGACATAGCATAAATCACATATTCGGTATTGTGTTTTGAATACAGGTTTTGCGGATGTTCTGACGTTTATCACGGTAACGACAAACGTCAGTCGGATTCGAGTTATGTCAGGAACTAAGGTACATGTTGGTTGTACCGTGAAAACGCCACTCAAGTCACCTTTTACATACTCATGGACTATAGATGGAGTCATTCGGGGATTCTCTCACACCTTTATTGGAATCATCTGCAACATAGACCATGGTAAAACACTGAAATGTAGTGTGCGCAAAGACGACATCTTGCTTGGTGTATCCACTATTTCACTACAAGTTTTGTGTAAGTAGAATGAATCACACCGTATTTCTTGTTCACATATTTTTGGGATATAGATATTTGAAACAATAATTCCTGCAAATAAAATACTGCTTTCAAATGAATTTAATATGACCAAAGATCCTGTCCATTAATATATACAAGTTGAGACAAAGGCAGATATCCTCATGAACTATTACCACTCAAAACGGTTCCGACTAAAACCGCTTCACATAATTAGCCTGAGAGCACAAACCTGTCATAACATATTTCCCAATCATGCTAATCTGAAACATGATCCCTTCGATGAGGAGGTAAGAGATGCATAACTGTTGCACTGTTAGAAAGAGTTCTGAAAAATGATGGGTATCGTAACAGGAAAAAAGCTTTTATCATGTTGCACACATTTGTTTCACATTCGACAAAGTTGACACAAGATAGTCGTTGGTAGTGAACATAATGACCACACTATACATATACATGACCTATGTAAAGGAAACATGCTGTTGTTTTCTTTCTAAAGCGTTTACAGGATTGGAACATCGTTAATCACCTAAAGAGACATTGATTTCAGTTGGAGAAAACCCTGAGAGGACAGCCTTTTCCCTAGAAATACTGTTTTACTATGTAGATTATTTATTATTTCAAAACAGATTGATATAAAACATTATAAGTTATGTTTGAAGCCGTTAATGGAAGAGTTGATGTTGGAATGTTTATACTTTCTAAGCGCTTACATTGCAGTATGCACTAATTCTTCAATAAAGAATTGCAATAAGTTGAACTTCGTGATGCATTGATCACTTGGTGATATTGTCAAATTTTCCATTCGTTACAACAGATCCGCCTAAAGTACACTGCCCTGAAGAGTACACCATGCTGCAAAATATCTCCGCTAACATCAACTGTTCTGCCGATGCTTTTCCTGCACCAAATGCCATCAACTGGATAGAGAAAGCATCAAACATGACTGTCATGACTGCCGACAACGTTTCAACTGCTACTCTTACTATATCAGATCATGGAATGTATGTATGTAGTGCAAGCAACAAGATGGTAGATTCCAATGGTGTGATTCGTACTGGAACAGGATCCTGCAGGGTCAAAGTCGTTGTAATGTGTAAGTTCCAATTTGATGCCTTCAAATGACAATTTAGTTCGCAATGATAAAGGTAATGGTTTGATTTTCAATACACATTCACTTCAAACATATGTTATGTGTCTAAATGAGAAAAGGATTATATGGGAGAGTCTTGATTCATCTATCCTTTATATCTGATACAGCTACAATGGTGAAGATTACTTTTCTCTTTTCTTATACTTATTTAGATCCACCACCTCCTTTAAAGTCAGCAAAAGTGGACGTATTTGAAGGTGTCAGTGTCAACTTGTCACGCCTGATCTCGTCTAACCCTTCACCACATCTCTACAGTTGGAAGAGGAGTACAGAGTCAGATTTTAATACAGGGACGCCAGTGCTAGCCGATATACAGAGAACAGATGCTGGAACTTACATCATCAAAGCTACGAACATCATGAACCTCTCACAGGGTGGTCCTCAGAAAGGGCATGGTGTGCTGATGCTCACCGTTAATGTTCTGTGTATGTTTAATGTTTTTACACATTTATTGTAGTGTCATAGTGTTTTATTCACAATGTTTATCGTAACAGGAAAAAAACTTTTATCATGTTGCACACATTTGTTTCACATTCGACAAAGTTGACACAAGATAGTCGTTGGTAGTGAACATAATGACCACAAGATATATATACATGACCTATTTAAAGGAAACATGTTGTTGTTTCCTTTCTAAAGCGTTTACAGGATTGGAACATCGTTAATCACCTAAAGAGACATTGATTTCAGTTGGAGAAAACCCTGAGAGGACAGCCTTTTCGCTAGAAATACTGTTTTACTATGTAGATTATTTATTATTTCAAAACAGATGGATATAAAACATTAAAAGTTGTGTTTGATGCCGTTAATGGAAGAGTTGATGTTGGAATGGTTATACTTTCTTAGCGCTTACATTGCAGTATGCACTAATTCTTCAATAAAGAATTGCAATAAGTTGAACTTCGTGATGCATTGATCACTTGGTGATATTGTCAAATTTTCCATTCGTTACAACAGATCCGCCTAAAGTACACTGCCCTGAAGAGTACACCATGCTGCAAAATATCTCCGCTAACATCAACTGTTCTGCCGATGCTTTTCCTGCACCAAATGCCATCAACTGGATAGAGAAAGCATCAAACATGACTGTCATGACTGCTGACAACGTTTCAACTGCTACTCTTACTATATCAGATCATGGAATGTATGTATGTAGTGCAAGCAACAAGATGGTAGATTCCAATGGTGTGATTCGTACTGGAACAGGATCCTGCAGGGTCAAAGTCGTTGAAATGTGTAAGTTCCAATTTGATGCCTTCAAATGACAATTTAGTTCGCAATGATAAAGGTAATGGTTTGATTTTCAATACACATTCACTTCAAACATATGTTATGTGTCTAAATGAGAAAAGGATAGTATGGGAGAGTCTTGATTCAACTATCCTTTATATCTTATACAGCTACAATGGTGAAGATTACTTTTCTCTTTTCTTATACTTATTTAGATCCACCACCTCCTTTAAAGTCAGCAAAAGTGGACGTATTTGAAGGTGTCAGTGTCAACTTGTCACGCCTGATCTCGTCTAACCCTTCACCACATCTCTACAGTTGGAAGAGGAGTACAGAGTCAGATTTTAATACAGGGACGCCAGTGCTAGCCGATATACAGAGAACAGATGCTGGAACTTACATCATCAAAGCTACGAACATCATGAACCTCTCACAGGGTGGTCCTCAGAAAGGGCATGGTGTGCTGATGCTCACCGTTAATGTTCTGTGTATGTTTAATGTTTTTACACATTTATTGTAGTGTCATAGTGTTTTATTCACAATGTTTATCGTAACAGGAAAAAAACTTTTATCATGTTGCACACATTTGTTTCACATTCGACAAAGTTGACACAAGATAGTCGTTGGTAGTGAACATAATGACCACAAGATATATATACATGACCTATTTAAAGGAAACATGTTGTTGTTTCCTTTCTAAAGCGTTTACAGGATTGGAACATCGTTAATCACCTAAAGAGACATTGATTTCAGTTGGAGAAAACCCTGAGAGGACAGCCTTTTCGCTAGAAATACTGTTTTACTATGTAGATTATTTATTATTTCAAAACAGATGGATATAAAACATTAAAAGTTGTGTTTGATGCCGTTAATGGAAGAGTTGATGTTGGAATGGTTATACTTTCTTAGCGCTTACATTGCAGTATGCACTAATTCTTCAATAAAGAATTGCAATAAGTTGAACTTCGTGATGCATTGATCACTTGGTGATATTGTCAAATTTTCCATTCGTTACAACAGATCCGCCTAAAGTACACTGCCCTGAAGAGTACACCATGCTGCAAAATATCTCCGCTAACATCAACTGTTCTGCCGATGCTTTTCCTGCACCAAATGCCATCAACTGGATAGAGAAAGCATCAAACATGACTGTCATGACTGCTGACAACGTTTCAACTGCTACTCTTACTATATCAGATCATGGAATGTATGTATGTAGTGCAAGCAACAAGATGGTAGATTCCAATGGTGTGATTCGTACTGGAACAGGATCCTGCAGGGTCAAAGTCGTTGAAATGTGTAAGTTCCAATTTGATGCCTTCAAATGACAATTTAGTTCGCAATGATAAAGGTAATGGTTTGATTTTCAATACACATTCACTTCAAACATATGTTATGTGTCTAAATGAGAAAAGGATAGTATGGGAGAGTCTTGATTCAACTATCCTTTATATCTTATACAGCTACAATGGTGAAGATTACTTTTCTCTTTTCTTATACTTATTTAGATCCACCACCTCTTTTAATGTCAGCAAAAGTGGACGTATTTGAAGGTGTCAGTGTCAACTTGTCACGCCTGATCTCGTCTAACCCTTCACCACATCTCTACAGTTGGAAGAGGAGTACAGAGTCAGATTTTAATACAGGGACGCCAGTGCTAGACGATATACAGAGAACAGATGCTGGAACTTACATCATCAAAGCTACGAACATCATGAACCTCTCACAGGGAGGTCCTCAGAAAGGGCATGGTGTGCTGATGCTCACCGTTAATGTTCTGTGTATGTTTAATGTTTTTACACATTTATTGTAGTGTCATAGTGTTTTATTCACAATGTTTATCGTAACAGGAAAAAAACTTTTATCATGTTGCACACATTTGTTTCACATTCGACAAAGTTCACACAAGGTAGTCGTTGGTAGTGAACATAATGACCACACTATACATATACATGACCTATTTAAAGGAAACATGTTGTTGTTTCCTTTCTAAAGCGTTTACAGGATTGGAACATCGTTAATCACCTAAAGAGACATTGATTTCAGTTAGAGAAAACCCTGAGAGTACAGCCTTTTCCCTAGAAATACTGTTTTACTATGTAGATTATTTATAATTTCAAAACAGATTGATATAAAACATTATAAGTTATGTTTGACGTCGTTAATGGAAGAGTTGATGTTGGAATGGTTATACTTTCTAAGCGCTTTCATTGCAGTATGCACTAATTCTTCAATAAAGAATTGCAATAAGTTGAACTTCATGATGCATTGATCACTTGGTGATATTGTCAAATTGTCCAATGTTACAACAGATGCGCCTAAAGTACACTGCTCTGAAGAGTACACCATGCTGCAAAATATCTCCTCTAACATCAACTGTTCTGCCGATGCTTTTCCTGCACCAAATGCCATCAACTGGATAGAGAAAGCATCAAACATGACTGTCATGACTGCCGACAACGTTTCAACTGCTACTCTCACTATATCAGATCATGGAATGTATGTATGTAGTGCAAGCAACAAGATGGTAGATTCCAATGGTGTGATTCGTACTGGAACAGGATCCTGCAGGGTCAAAGTCGTTGTAATGTGTAAGTTCCAATTTGATGCCTTCAAATGACAATTTAGTTCGCAATGTTAAAGGTAATGGTTTGATATTCAATACACATTCACTTCAAATATATGTTATGTGTCTAAATGAAAAAAGATTAGTATAGGATGAGTCTTGATTCATCTATCCTTCATATCTTATACAGCTTCAATGGTGAAGTTTACTTTCCTCTTTTTTTTATACTTATTAAGATCCACCACCTCCTTTAATGTCAGCAAAAGTGGACGTATTTGAAGGTGTCAGTGTCAACTTGTCACGCCTGATCTCGTCTTACCCTTCACCACATCTCTACAGTTGGAAGAGGAGTACAGAGTCAGATTTTAATACAGGGACGCCAGTGCTAGCCGATATACAGAGAACAGATGCTGGAACTTACATCATCAAAGCTACGAACATCATGAACCTCTCACAGGGTGGTCCTCAGAAAGGGCATGGTGTGCTGATGCTCACCGTTAATGTTCTGTGTATGTTTAATGTTTTTACACATTTATTGTAGTGTCATAGTGTTTTATTCACAATGTTTATCGTAACAGGAAAAAAAACTCTTATCATGTTGCACACATTTGTTTCACATTCGACAAAGTTGACACAAGATAGTCGTTGATAGCGAACATAATGACCACAAGATATATATACATGACCTATTTAAAGGAAACATGTTGTTGTTTCCTTTCTAAAGCGTTTACAGGATTGGAACATTGTTAATCACCTAAAGAGACATTGATTTCAGTTGGAGAAAACCCTGAGAGGACAGCCTTTTTCCTAGAAATACTGTTTTACTATGTAGATTATTTATTATTTCAAAACAGATTGATATAAAACATTAAAAGTTGTGTTTGACGCCGTTAATGGAAGAGTTGATGTTGGAATGTTTATACTTTCTAAGCGCTTACATTGCAGTATGAACTAATTCTTCAATAAAGAATTGCAATAAGTTGAACTTCATGATGCATTGATCACTTGGTGATATTGTCAAATTGTCCAATGTTACAACAGATGCGCCTAAAGTACACTGCCCTGAAGAGTACACCATGCTGCAAAATATCTCCGCTAACATCAACTGTTCTGCCGATGCTTTTCCTGCACCAAATGCCATCAACTGGATAGAGAAAGCATCAAACATGACTGTCATGACTGCTGACAACGTTTCAACTGCTACTCTTACTATATCAGATCATGGAATGTATGTATGTAGTGCAAGCAACAAGATGGTAGATTCCAATGGTGTGATTCGTACTGGAACAGGATCCTGCAGGGTCAAAGTCGTTGTAATGTGTAAGTTCCAATTTGATGCCTTCAAATGACAATTTAGTTCGCAATGATAAAGGTAATGGTTTGATTTTCAATACACATTCACTTCAAACATATGTTATGTGTCAAAATGAGAAAAGGATAGTATGGGAGAGTCTTGATTCAACTATCCTTTATATCTTATACAGCTACAATGGTGAAGATTACTTTTCTCTTTTCTTATACTTATTTAGATCCACCACCTCTTTTAATGTCAGCAAAAGTGGACGTATTTGAAGGTGTCAGTGTCAACTTGTCACGCCTGATCTCGTCTAACCCTTCACCACATCTCTACAGTTGGAAGAGGAGTACAGAGTCAGATTTTAATACAGGGACGCCAGTGCTAGCCGATATACAGAGAACAGATGCTGGAACTTACATCATCAAAGCTACGAACATCATGAACCTCTCACAGGGAGGTCCTCAGAAAGGGCATGGTGTGCTGATGCTCACCGTTAATGTTCTGTGTATGTTTAATGTTTTTACACATTTATTGTAGAGTCATAGTGTTTTATTCACAATGTTTATCGTAACAGGAAAAAAACTTTTATCATGTTGCACACATTTGTTTCACATTCGACAAAGTTGACACAAGATAGTCGTTGGTAGTGAACATAATGACCACAAGATATATATACATGACCTATTTAAAGGAAACATGTTGTTGTTTCCTTTCTAAAGCGTTTACAGGATTGGAACATCGTTAATCACCTAAAGAGACATTGATTTCAGTTGGAGAAAACCCTGAGAGGACAGCCTTTTCGCTAGAAATACTGTTTTACTATGTAGATTATTTATTATTTCAAAACAGATGGATATAAAACATTAAAAGTTGTGTTTGATGCCGTTAATGGAAGAGTTGATGTTGGAATGGTTATACTTTCTTAGCGCTTACATTGCAGTATGCACTAATTCTTCAATAAAGAATTGCAATAAGTTGAACTTCATGATGCATTGATCACTTGGTGATATTGTCAAATTGTCCAATGTTACAACAGATGCGCCTAAAGTACACTGCCCTGAAGAGTACACCATGCTGCAAAATATCTCCTCTAACATCAACTGTTCTGCCGATGCTTTTCCTGCACCAAATGCCATCAACTGGATAGAGAAAGCATCAAACATGACTGTCATGACTGCCGACAACGTTTCAACTGCTACTCTTACTATATCAGATCATGGAATGCATGTATGTAGTGCAAGCAACAAGATGGTAGATTCCAATGGTGTGATTCGTACTGGAACAGGATCCTGCAGGGTCAAAGTCGTTGTAATGTGTAAGTTCCAATTTGATGCCTTCAAATGACAATTTAGTTCGCAATGATAAAGGTAATGGTTTGATTTTCAATACACATTCACTTCAAACATATGTTATGTGTCAAAATGAGAAAAGGATAGTATGGGAGAGTCTTGATTCAACTATCCTTTATATCTTATACAGCTACAATGGTGAAGATTACTTTTCTCTTTTCTTATACTTATTTAGATCCACCACCTCTTTTAATGTCAGCAAAAGTGGACGTATTTGAAGGTGTCAGTGTCAACTTGTCACGCCTGATCTCGTCTAACCCTTCACCACATCTCTACAGTTGGAAGAGGAGTACAGAGTCAGATTTTAATACAGGGACGCCAGTGCTAGCCGATATACAGAGAACAGATGCTGGAACTTACATCATCAAAGCTACGAACATCATGAACCTCTCACAGGGAGGTCCTCAGAAAGGGCATGGTGTGCTGATGCTCACCGTTAATGTTCTGTGTATGTTTAATGTTTTTACACATTTATTGTAGAGTCATAGTGTTTTATTCACAATGTTTATCGTAACAGGAAAAAAACTTTTATCATGTTGCACACATTTGTTTCACATTCGACAAAGTTGACACAAGATAGTCGTTGGTAGTGAACATAATGACCACAAGATATATATACATGACCTATTTAAAGGAAACATGTTGTTGTTTCCTTTCTAAAGCGTTTACAGGATTGGAACATCGTTAATCACCTAAAGAGACATTGATTTCAGTTGGAGAAAACCCTGAGAGGACAGCCTTTTCGCTAGAAATACTGTTTTACTATGTAGATTATTTATTATTTCAAAACAGATGGATATAAAACATTAAAAGTTGTGTTTGATGCCGTTAATGGAAGAGTTGATGTTGGAATGGTTATACTTTCTTAGCGCTTACATTGCAGTATGCACTAATTCTTCAATAAAGAATTGCAATAAGTTGAACTTCATGATGCATTGATCACTTGGTGATATTGTCAAATTGTCCAATGTTACAACAGATGCGCCTAAAGTACACTGCCCTGAAGAGTACACCATGCTGCAAAATATCTCCTCTAACATCAACTGTTCTGCCGATGCTTTTCCTGCACCAAATGCCATCAACTGGATAGAGAAAGCATCAAACATGACTGTCATGACTGCCGACAACGTTTCAACTGCTACTCTTACTATATCAGATCATGGAATGTATGTATGTAGTGCAAGCAACAAGATGGTAGATTCCAATGGTGTGATTCGTACTGGAACAGGATCCTGCAGGGTCAAAGTCGTTGTAATGTGTAAGTTCCAATTTGATGCCTTCAAATGACAATTTAGTTCGCAATGATAAAGGTAATGGTTTGATTTTCAATACACATTCACTTCAAACATATGTTATGTGTCTAAATGAGAAAAGGATAGTATGGGAGAGTCTTGATTCAACTATCCTTTATATCTTATACAGCTACAATGGTGAAGATTACTTTTCTCTTTTCTTATACTTATTTAGATCCACCACCTCTTTTAATGTCAGCAAAAGTGGACGTATTTGAAGGTGTCAGTGTCAACTTGTCACGCCTGATCTCGTCTAACCCTTCACCACATCTCTACAGTTGGAAGAGGAGTACAGAGTCAGATTTTAATACAGGGACGCCAGTGCTAGACGATATACAGAGAACAGATGCTGGAACTTACATCATCAAAGCTACGAACATCATGAACCTCTCACAGGGTGGTCCTCAGAAAGGGCATGGTGTGCTGATGCTCACCGTTAATGTTCTGTGTATGTTAATTGTTTTTACACATTTATTGTAGAGTCATAGTGTTTTATTCACAATGTTTATCGTAACAGGAAAAAAACTTTTATCATGTTGAACACATTTGTTTCACATTCGACAAAGTTGACACAAGATAGTCGTTGGTAGTGAACATAATGACCACAAGATATATATACATGACCTATTTAAAGGAAACATGTTGTTGTTTCCTTTCTAAAGCGTTTACAGGATTGGAACATCGTTAATCACCTAAAGAGACATTGATTTCAGTTGGAGAAAACCCTGAGAGGACAGCCTTTTCGCTAGAAATACTGTTTTACTATGTAGATTATTTATTATTTCAAAACAGATGGATATAAAACATTAAAAGTTGTGTTTGATGCCGTTAATGGAAGAGTTGATGTTGGAATGGTTATACTTTCTTAGCGCTTACATTGCAGTATGCACTAATTCTTCAATAAAGAATTGCAATAAGTTGAACTTCGTGATGCATTGATCACTTGGTGATATTGTCAAATTTTCCATTCGTTACAACAGATCCGCCTAAAGTACACTGCCCTGAAGAGTACACCATGCTGCAAAATATCTCCGCTAACATCAACTGTTCTGCCGATGCTTTTCCTGCACCAAATGCCATCAACTGGATAGAGAAAGCATCAAACATGACTGTCATGACTGCTGACAACGTTTCAACTGCTACTCTTACTATATCAGATCATGGAATGTATGTATGTAGTGCAAGCAACAAGATGGTAGATTCCAATGGTGTGATTCGTACTGGAACAGGATCCTGCAGGGTCAAAGTCGTTGAAATGTGTAAGTTCCAATTTGATGCCTTCAAATGACAATTTAGTTCGCAATGATAAAGGTAATGGTTTGATTTTCAATACACATTCACTTCAAACATATGTTATGTGTCTAAATGAGAAAAGGATAGTATGGGAGAGTCTTGATTCAACTATCCTTTATATCTTATACAGCTACAATGGTGAAGATTACTTTTCTCTTTTCTTATACTTATTTAGATCCACCACCTCCTTTAAAGTCAGCAAAAGTGGACGTATTTGAAGGTGTCAGTGTCAACTTGTCACGCCTGATCTCGTCTAACCCTTCACCACATCTCTACAGTTGGAAGAGGAGTACAGAGTCAGATTTTAATACAGGGACGCCAGTGCTAGCCGATATACAGAGAACAGATGCTGGAACTTACATCATCAAAGCTACGAACATCATGAACCTCTCACAGGGTGGTCCTCAGAAAGGGCATGGTGTGCTGATGCTCACCGTTAATGTTCTGTGTATGTTTAATGTTTTTAAACATTTATTGTAGTGTCATAGTGTTTTATTCACAATGTTTATCGTAACAGGAAAAAAACTTTTATCATGTTGCACACATTTGTTTCACATTCGACAAAGTTGACACAAGATAGTCGTTGGTAGTGAACATAATGACCACAAGATATATATACATGACCTATTTAAAGGAAACATGTTGTTGTTTCCTTTCTAAAGCGTTTACAGGATTGGAACATCGTTAATCACCTAAAGAGACATTGATTTCAGTTGGAGAAAACCCTGAGAGGACAGCCTTTTCGCTAGAAATACTGTTTTACTATGTAGATTATTTATTATTTCAAAACAGATGGATATAAAACATTAAAAGTTGTGTTTGATGCCGTTAATGGAAGAGTTGATGTTGGAATGGTTATACTTTCTTAGCGCTTACATTGCAGTATGCACTAATTCTTCAATAAAGAATTGCAATAAGTTGAACTTCGTGATGCATTGATCACTTGGTGATATTGTCAAATTTTCCATTCGTTACAACAGATCCGCCTAAAGTACACTGCCCTGAAGAGTACACCATGCTGCAAAATATCTCCGCTAACATCAACTGTTCTGCCGATGCTTTTCCTGCACCAAATGCCATCAACTGGATAGAGAAAGCATCAAACATGACTGTCATGACTGCTGACAACGTTTCAACTGCTACTCTTACTATATCAGATCATGGAATGTATGTATGTAGTGCAAGCAACAAGATGGTAGATTCCAATGGTGTGATTCGTACTGGAACAGGATCCTGCAGGGTCAAAGTCGTTGAAATGTGTAAGTTCCAATTTGATGCCTTCAAATGACAATTTAGTTCGCAATGATAAAGGTAATGGTTTGATTTTCAATACACATTCACTTCAAACATATGTTATGTGTCTAAATGAGAAAAGGATAGTATGGGAGAGTCTTGATTCAACTATCCTTTATATCTTATACAGCTACAATGGTGAAGATTACTTTTCTCTTTTCTTATACTTATTTAGATCCACCACCTCTTTTAATGTCAGCAAAAGTGGACGTATTTGAAGGTGTCAGTGTCAACTTGTCACGCCTGATCTCGTCTAACCCTTCACCACATCTCTACAGTTGGAAGAGGAGTACAGAGTCAGATTTTAATACAGGGACGCCAGTGCTAGACGATATACAGAGAACAGATGCTGGAACTTACATCATCAAAGCTACGAACATCATGAACCTCTCACAGGGAGGTCCTCAGAAAGGGCATGGTGTGCTGATGCTCACCGTTAATGTTCTGTGTATGTTTAATGTTTTTACACATTTATTGTAGTGTCATAGTGTTTTATTCACAATGTTTATCGTAACAGGAAAAAAACTTTTATCATGTTGCACACATTTGTTTCACATTCGACAAAGTTCACACAAGGTAGTCGTTGGTAGTGAACATAATGACCACACTATACATATACATGACCTATTTAAAGGAAACATGTTGTTGTTTCCTTTCTAAAGCGTTTACAGGATTGGAACATCGTTAATCACCTAAAGAGACATTGATTTCAGTTAGAGAAAACCCTGAGAGTACAGCCTTTTCCCTAGAAATACTGTTTTACTATGTAGATTATTTATAATTTCAAAACAGATTGATATAAAACATTATAAGTTATGTTTGACGCCGTTAATGGAAGAGTTGATGTTGGAATGGTTATACTTTCTAAGCGCTTTCATTGCAGTATGCACTAATTCTTCAATAAAGAATTGCAATAAGTTGAACTTCATGATGCATTGATCACTTGGTGATATTGTAAAATTGTCCAATGTTACAACAGATGCGCCTAAAGTACACTGCTATGAAGAGTACACCATGCTGCAAAATATCTCCTCTAACATCAACTGTTCTGCCGATGCTTTTCCTGCACCAAATGCCATCAACTGGATAGAGAAAGCATCAAACATGACTGTCATGACTGCCGACAACGTTTCAACTGCTACTCTCACTATATCAGATCATGGAATGTATGTATGTAGTGCAAGCAACAAGATGGTAGATTCCAACGGTGTGATTCGTACTGGAACAGGATCCTGCAGGGTCAAAGTCGTTGTAATGTGTAAGTTCCAATTTGATGCCTTCAAATGACAATTTAGTTCGCAATGTTAAAGGTAATGGTTTGATATTCAATACACATTCACTTCAAATATATGTTATGTGTCTAAATGAAAAAAGATTAGTATAGGATGAGTCTTGATTCATCTATCCTTCATATCTTATACAGCTTCAATGGTGAAGTTTACTTTCCTCTTTTTTTTATACTTATTAAGATCCACCACCTCCTTTAATGTCAGCAAAAGTGGACGTATTTGAAGGTGTCAGTGTCAACTTGTCACGCCTGATCTCGTCTTACCCTTCACCACATCTCTACAGTTGGAAGAGGAGTACAGAGTCAGATTTTAATACAGGGACGCCAGTGCTAGCCGATATACAGAGAACAGATGCTGGAACTTACATCATCAAAGCTACGAACATCATGAACCTCTCACAGGGTGGTCCTCAGAAAGGGCATGGTGTGCTGATGCTCACCGTTAATGTTCTGTGTATGTTTAATGTTTTTACACATTTATTGTAGTGTCATAGTGTTTTATTCACAATGTTTATCGTAACAGGAAAAAAAACTCTTATCATGTTGCACACATTTGTTTCACAGTCGACAAAGTTGACACAAGATAGTCGTTGATAGCGAACATAATGACCACAAGATATATATACATGACCTATTTAAAGGAAACATGTTGTTGTTTCCTTTCTAAAGCGTTTACAGGATTGGAACATTGTTAATCACCTAAAGAGACATTTATTTCAGTTGGAGAAAACCCTGAGAGGACAGCCTTTTTCCTAGAAATACTGTTTTACTATGTAGATTATTTATTATTTCAAAACAGATTGATATAAAACATTAAAAGTTGTGTTTGACGCCGTTAATGGAAGAGTTGATGTTGGAATGGTTATACTTTCTAAGCGCTTACATTGCAGTATGAACTAATTCTTCAATAAAGAATTGCAATAAGTTGAACTTCATGATGCATTGATCACTTGGTGATATTGTCAAATTGTCCAATGTTACAACAGATGCGCCTAAAGTACACTGCCCTGAAGAGTACACCATGCTGCAAAATATCTCCGCTAACATCAACTGTTCTGCCGATGCTTTTCCTGCACCAAATGCCATCAACTGGATAGAGAAAGCATCAAACATGACTGTCATGACTGCTGACAACGTTTCAACTGCTACTCTTACTATATCAGATCATGGAATGTATGTATGTAGTGCAAGCAACAAGATGGTAGATTCCAATGGTGTGATTCGTACTGGAACAGGATCCTGCAGGGTCAAAGTCGTTGTAATGTGTAAGTTCCAATTTGATGCCTTCAAATGACAATTTAGTTCGCAATGATAAAGGTAATGGTTTGATTTTCAATACACATTCACTTCAAACATATGTTATGTGTCTAAATGAGAAAAGGATAGTATGGGATGAGTCTTGATTCATCTATCCTTTATATCTTATACAGCTACAATGGTGAAGATTACTTTTCTCTTTTCTTATACTTATTTAGATCCACCACCTCTTTTAATGTCAGCAAAAGTGGACGTATTTGAAGGTGTCAGTGTCAACTTGTCACGCCTGATCTCGTCTAACCCTTCACCACATCTCTACAGTTGGAAGAGGAGTACAGAGTCAGATTTTAATACAGGGACGCCAGTGCTAGCCGATATACAGAGAACAGATGCTGGAACTTACATCATCAAAGCTACGAACATCATGAACCTCTCACAGGGTGGTCCTCAGAAAGGGCATGGTGTGCTGATGCTCACCGTTAATGTTCTGTGTATGTTTAATGTTTTTACACATTTATTGTAGTGTCATAGTGTTTTATTCACAATGTTTATCGTAACAGGAAATAAAACTCTTATCATGTTGCACACATTTGTTTCACATTCGACAATGTTGGCACAAGATAGTCGTTGGTAGCGAACATAATGACCACACTATACATATACATGACCTATGTAAAGGAAACATGCTGTTGTTTTCTTTCTAAAGCGTTTACAGGATTGGAACATCGTTAATCACCTAAAGAGACATTGATTTCAGTTGGAGAAAACCCTGAGAGTACAGCCTTTTTCCTAGAAATACTGTTTTACTATGTAGATTATTTATTATTTCAAAACAGATTGATATAAAACATTATAAGTTATGTTTGACGTCGTTAATGGAAGAGTTGATGTTGGAATGGTTATACTTTCTAAGCGCTTACATTGCAGTATGCACTAATTCTTCAATAAAGAATTGCAATAAGTTGAACTTCGTGATGCATTGATCACTTGGTGATATTGTAAATTTTTCCATTCGTTACAACAGATGCGCCTAAAGTACACTGCCCTGAAGAGTACACCACGCTGCAAAATATCTCCTCTAACATCAACTGTTCTGCTGAAGCTTTTCCTGCACCAAATGCCATCAACTGGATAGAGAAAGCATCAAACATGACTGTCATGACTGCCGACAACGTTTCAACTGCTACTCTTACTATATCAGATCATGGAATGTATGTATGTAGTGCAAGCAACAAGATGGTAGATTCCAATGGTGTGATTCGCACTGGAACAGGATCCTGCAGGGTCAAAGTCGTTGTAATGTGTAAGTTCCAATTTGATGCCTTCAAATGACAATTTAGTTCGCAATGATAAAGGTAATGGTTTGATATTCAATACACATTCACTTCAAACATATGTTATGTGTCTAAATGAAAAAAGGATAGAATGGGATGAGTCTTGATTCAACTATCCTTCATATCTTATACAGCTTCAATGGTGAAGTTTACTTTTCTCTTTTCTTATACTTATTTAGATCCACCACCTCCTTTAAAGTCAGCAAAAGTGGACGTATTTGAAGGCACCAGTGTCAACTTGTCACGCCTGATCTCGTCTAACCCTTCACCACATCTCTACAGTTGGAAGAGGAGTACAGAGTCAGATTTTAATACAGGGACGCCAGTGCTAGACGATATACAGAGAACAGATGCTGGAACTTACATCATCAAAGCTACGAACATCATGAACCTCTCACAGGGTGGTCCTCAGGAAGGGCATGGTGTGCTGATGCTCACCGTTAATGTTCTGTGTAAGTTTGTTACTTGCCCTGTGTTTTGTATAATCCACAGATTTGAAATCAAGCTTGGGTAAGCTGATGACTTATGTACATGGGACCTTGTGTCATCACTTATTGAAGGTGGTTGATAAACACTTGGGTATGATACAGTCGCAAGTGTACCCTGGATAAATAGTAATTCCACTTCTGTTTACATTTCTAAAATATCATTCTTAGACATTCGCCTTAGTAAGTTGTGATTTCACAAGGAAACGTGAGGTTTGATATTATGAGTTTAATTCTTAGCCCGTCCACATCAATAGACTTTTTCTATTAGAAGCTGTTTTATAATCATAATGATGCTAACAATAATGTGTTTGGAGGCTTGAATTTCATTTGATAATAAAAGCCAATAAAAGCAACAAATTTATTCCACAGCCCCCAGGTTATCTCTGCCGCAAGCCACTTTACAATTCCGACAATATCATAACATTAGCATGTGTTTTCGAACCATTATAGAATAGTGATGATACCAGTAGTTCGCAAAAAGATGGCCGTATCCTGAACCCGTCACAAACACATGCAAAGGCAAGTCAATTGCTATCTGAAAAACAGGCAAACATATAGTGTGAAGTCAAAATAAGAAATAGGGACATCATATATGCCACTGGTGCTTCAAATTTGGATATGTCCTCCACTATCATAATATTTTTTGAAAGCATTACCGAGTGATATAATGTACTTTGCAACCTTAGCATAAAATGATGTGCTTGTATAGAAATATTTCTTTTCGGAACAGATGCTCCAGTTGTCCACTGCCTGAAGGAGTGCGCAGTACCAAAAAGCAAAACACACACTCTTTCCTGCTCTGTGGAGGGCTTCCCAATGTCTCATCTCTTTAAATGGATACAAGAGTCTTCAAACAAGACGATTATAACTGGGAATAGTCCTCCTAGTGTCAAGGTCTCAGATGATGGAGTGTATGTCTGCACTGCTACCAACACAATGACAGACTTCCGTGGAGTTAGTCAAACTCGAACCGGAACCTGCAGGATCAATATTACCATGATACAAACTGAGGAGAAAGCAGGTAAGGTTTCTTCTTCTTCTTCTCCTTCTTCTTCTTCTTCTTCTTCTTCTTCGTTTAATATCTTTTGTAGTTCAAATCCATGATTCAATCATCATCTTGGACAATGCACACTTCTCACTGACCAATCACTTGTCAGGTATCTGACCTCTGAGAAATGACAAAGCGCAACCCTGATGGGTTTCTTGAAGGTCCAAATATATGTCATTCAGGACGTATAAATTATCATTATGTGGATCAGATGGTCAGGCTCTTTGATTTATCTGATTGGTTCATGATACACCGAGGAGGTGGGTGATTCTCATGCTTTCAGTCGCTTATTTGCCTGAATTAATTATTTACAGGAGGATGTTGGTACTTTAATATCAACTACTGTGGCTTTAAGCATCACTCACCCACTCACTTAACTTTTGTTATTACTACATTTATATGAATCATATTTACATGTAGGTCTTTTTGACGCACCGTTTGTCGAATATCAGGCCACCGACATTTTGCAATAACATATATATCCAATTTAAATACCGGATTTTTTGTGTAGTCAGGTTCAATGAACTACTACCTGTGCGTTTCTTTTTTTGAAGAGTGTATGTTCATATGTTCTTACTATCTAGCTCCGGAAACATCAGGGTCAGACACAGATGTGTCCGCCATTGCTCTTCCCTTGTATGCCATCTACGTCACTGGAGGTGCATTTGGTGGTGTCTGCATAATAAATATCATCTTGATCTTCATCCTCTGTAAGAAGAAACAAAACAACAGTTCTACCAATGGTATGAAAACATAAGATCATCACATCATGCTTAAACATAAAACTGACTTATATTATTGTTATCATTAATCAGTGATATAGACGACGGTTTCACATTAAATGCTAGTTTTGAATGTGTTGACATCATTCAGCAATGGATGTCACCATCTGTATATTTGTATATTTGTGACAATCTGCGTCTGAACTTGAGTGAGTGAGTGAGTTGGGTTTAACGCCGCTTTTAACAATATTCCAGTTATATCACGGCGTGTCAGCTTAATGTGAAAGGAAAGCCCAAAGTGATTCAGGTCTCAGACGTTTCCCACTTCGGTGAAACCCACGAGCACGGGTATGGTGCTGACAAACCTAGAAACATAATCGAGGCAAACCGGGGTTCGAACCCACAATCATAGGTTTCTGGCGTCTCCAAGGGACATAACTCTGCACAGCGAAGCGCGGCGCCTTAGACGACTGGGCCACCCTTGCCGTGAAGGGACTTGAAGAAATAAACACATGATTACATTCATTTTCTCCATGTATCTCTAGTTTGCTCACACATATGAGTCAACGTGGCTTAATAGCTACATTCGGTTGATGTGTTTGTCTACTGTTTAGGGTTACCATCATAAGCCACTGTGTAATGGTTATAAATATCATGTCAAGAGTGTTTTCACATACAAATATATAAAGACTGTGCGCTTTAATGAATTTCCAGTTCAGGTTTTTATTGCAGAATACATGCCACAGGCCTACAACACAAATCTGTGTGGAAAGTAGATGTACAGATGTAGTGTTTAATTTCTTCACTTCATTGCATGAACTATATACATCATACTATATGTAAGGATAAGGATAAGGATATTTACACATTAATCAACCCCAATAATCATCATAAAAGCTGACCGCCTCCGTGGTGTAGTGGTAGAATGTCCGCCCCTGAGAGCGGAAGGTCAGGGGTTCGATCCCCGGCCCCGTCATACCTAAAGACGTTAAAAGATGGTACTTGTTGTTACCCTGTCTGGCGCTCGGCATTTAGGGGCTAAAACAAGGACTGGTCGGCTCGGAGTCAGTATACTGTGTCTGAGTGGGGTATTCATGTTAAACTGCGGCAGGGTATCTCAGTGAGCTAGCACAATAAATCGGCATCAGTCCGGACTAGTACAAGCAGCCACACAAACACACTATAATCTTGGACGCGACGTTAAACCCCATTTCACCTCACCTCATAAAAGCTGATCATAAAAATCTTTTTTTTAACAATTTTTTTATTTGAAAGTAAAAGACGTTCATGTGTTGCTCGTGATACTGTTTGTGTAGCATGGAATATCTTTGTAGAAGGAGTTTGTAGTTTCATGCTGGAACATGTGAACTTGTGAACACATAAATGAAGTGAATCCATAAATCAGTGTTAATGTATCACGATCCTTTTTCTATTTCAGGTAGACTGGAAAAGAAAATGTAAGTACGACGTCATTATACACCTATATTCATTATGCAATTCACAACATGACCGGGGCGGTCGAGTAGCCTAGTGGTTAAAGCGTCCGCTCGTCACGCCGAAAACCCGGGTCCGATTCCCGACGTGGGTACAATGTGTGAAGCCCATTTCTGGTTTCGCCCGCTGTGATATTGCTGGAATATTGCTAAGAGCGGCGTAAAACCATACTTACTCACTCACTCACTCAACATGACGCTAGAAATTAACCAGTCATAAATAAATTTATCTTTAGAAACAGATTACGTAGGTAGAAAAAGGGAACAAGGTGGTGAAAGGTATATGAAAATGGCGCCAGGGCCTGCTCCACCGGTGGTATCCGCACATTGGAAAAATAAGTGTCAGTTAGTAAGGTTGGTTGGTTGGTTGTTTAACGCAATATTCCAGCTACATGACGGCTGTCTGTAAATAATCGAGTCTGGACCAGACAATCCAGTGATTAATATCATAAGCATCGATCCACGCATTTGGGATCGATGACATGCATCAACCAAGCCTGACCACCCGATCCCGTTAGTCGCATTTTACGACAAGCATAGTCACCTTTTACGGCAAGCATGGGTTGCTGAAGACCTATTCTACCCCGGAATCTTCACGGGTCCAGTGAGTGAGGACGTGTGAAAGCTCGATGCAAAGGTCAAATGTATTTCATCTCATATCATGTTGACAAGTGTAATCATCCCTTGTTGTACTGTATAGTACAGATGTTGTCATCGTTTTCAGTTCTTTTACGCAAATATCCAGATACGACACTGGCAATAGTTTCTCAGTTCTTGATTCAAACTCTGGTGGATAGATGAAATATTATTGAAACAAATGAAGTTATCCTCTGAATCTGAGGTTGATCTATTTGACAACGTGTTCTTTATTTGATGTAACTTAAGTAAAGAAGTCAGACAGATCACAGTATCATGTGGCTACTAACCACACGTCAGAAAGTTCTGTCCCTAAATGTAACAAGTAAACAGTCAATCTGGAAACGCAACTATTCAGATTTATGAGTACAGTTTACTATATTCTTAACAATGTGACCACTCGTGAAAGAAAAGCCGCAATAGCATTATATTTAGGAACCCCTTTCTTGGAAACAAAAGCCCTTTCAATTTATCATGAGGGTGTGTGAAACGTGGCAAACTTGTTGTTTTTGTAGAGATCTGAGAATATTTTACTCAAAATTAATCTTTTGAAACGTTCGAGATGCATGTGATCAACCCCATTTGTTGATTTTCTGACACTATTTACTCAAACCCTGCCTCACTGTTGTCTGCATATGTTCATATCATTACAAAGAGTGATATAAAGTGAAAGTTGTTTTGAACACCAATATCTTCATGTTCACAGCAATAACATACCACTCACGGAGTCAGCTGGGGGTGAGTTGTAAATGTTCACTAAATTTGCAACGTCATATATTGTGACGTAACAGAGTTAATCGTAAATAATACAGTAAACTACGGTTATAACGAACTCAAAGGGACTACTTATTTTAGTTCGTTATAACCGTAGTTCGTTATAAGCATATATACAACATACAGTAAACTACGGTTATAACGAAAACGTTTATAACGAACTGACGGATATAACGAACTTACTTTTTGGTCCCGACTACTTGCTGTAGTTATGCTGTGTATATGCTTATAACGAACTACGGTTGTAACGAACTAAAATTAGTAGTCCCTTTGAGTTCGTTATAACCGTACTTTACTGTATCTGCAACACATAGACGGGACTACAAAATAAGTTCGTTGTATCGGTCAGTTCGTTATAAGCGTGTTCGTTATAACCGTAGTTTACTGTAACGTCATTTATGAAAGAAAGAAATGATGAATTGCCGAGTGACAAATATGAACAATATGTTTGATGTGTATTAGTAATGTATGGAATGTGCAGAATGAACCGTTACATTGACCGTAAGCAGTATATGTAAACCAATAGATGCACATATAGATATTTCACTGGTAACAATAGACAAGTGTTATTATTTGTATTTTGACAGAGTCGCCGCAGATGCTCAGTCTGATGTGACAATGGGCCACACGACGGACCCTCTCGTTTTATCTTTCAGCAATATGCATGATTTCTTGGTTATGTAAATGTGGTTTGGGTTGATTAGGGAATGTGATTTTCATTGTCAATGTAGGTCTTTCACATTTAATATTGACTTCTGCATGGTGTATAAACGTATAATAATGCTTTTGTGTAATTTTTTACTTATTTGATTTATGTTATCAAACTGAGGTGAGGTGAAATTTGGTTTAACGTCTCGTCCAAGATTATTGCGCTTATATAGCGACGTGCATGCACGTGTGTGTGGCTGCTTGTACTAGTCCGGACTGATGACGATTTATAGGGCTAGCTCACTGAGATAGCATGCGCAGTTTAACATGGATATGCCACTCAGACACAGTATACTGACTCCGAGCCGACCAGTCCTTGTTTTAGCCCATTTATGCTGAGATACAGGCAGGGTAACAACAAGTACCATCTTTCAAAGTCGTTTTTGGTATGACGCGGCCGGGGATCTTACGCTCTAATGGTAGAGCGTCCGCCCGGAGAGCGGAAGGTCCGGGGTTCGATCCCCGACCGCGCCATACCAAAAGACATTAATAGATGATACTTGTTGTTACCCTGTCTGGCGCTCGGCATTAAGGGGCTAAAACAAGGACTGGTCGGCTCGGAGTCAGTATACTGTGTCTGAGTGGGGTATTCATGTTAGACTGCGGCATGGTATCTCAGTGAGCTAGCACTTTAAATCGGCATCGGTCCGGACTAGTACAAGCAGCCACACAAACTCACACACGTACATGCACGTCGCTATATAAGTGCAATAATCTTGGACGCGACGTTAAACCCCATTTCACCTCACCTCACCTCACCTCTTAATGTACGGGGAAAGCTCGAAGGTCTCAGACTTTCACGACTTTGGTGATACTGACAAATGATAGAAATGATGCTAGAAACATGATCGGGCCGAACCGGGATTCAAACCCACAATCGTAGATGTATAGCGTGCCAAAGGGACGCAACTCTGCACAGTGAATCGCGGCGCATTAGACGGCTTGGCAACCCACCTCCCCAGGGCAGAATGGCGTGAACACTACTTTTCTACTGTATTTTTCACATGCTGGGTACAAGTGACAACTCATGAAAATATGGTTTTCAAACTTCACTCGAAGAGATATACATCGTTTTTGATAAAAAGCTTCAGTGTCTCTATGTATTCCAAAACTAATAAAACGAGCTTCTGCAAAATCTGATATTGTTTTCTATTAAAACAATGAGCCTAAATTTGGTGATTACATGCTGAATGAACTTCTTTTTGGGGGCAGACAATTACTTTTTTCAGCAGTCTTAAGCATAGTTATTGTTTCAAGCATTTTCTGGGGCAATTTCCACCACTTTGCTTTTTTGCTGATGCATGAAACAAACAACCAAGGACGCGTGCTATTGTGTTTTTAATACGCAACACATTTTGTTATTTTCAAGTATTGCATAAGTGCTAGAGAGGAGGACTCGATAATCTCTTGGAATGTCAAAACACCGCTAAACGTTAATGCTGATGTATATACTATCAACGCCAACTGTTGTATGTCAATTAGAAGGATGCAATACTACACAAGTTGCCTCCCTTTTCTTCATTTCATAGTGGACATTGCAGTATATCACTGTTATCGCTGCCAACATATAGGTTTCTTTGTCTTTTTATTTGTTGTTTCCAGTCTTATTATGGAGGCCTGTAGATAAACCAGGAAATGCCAGACATCCCAAACAGAGGAATATAGATTTGTTGGTTCTGATCGGAGTGAATGCATGCAAGTTGTACCGACTCGTAGCACGGCCTTGTTGATGCTGTCAACAAAATGTTTATTTTTATAATTATTTACTGGTTGCTGTATTATAAATCGGACCTTTTTCTGATTTAACGTGAACGTAGACTAGTATATGGGATTGCCTAAAAGTCGGGCCAAGAAAAGTCGAGCCGGGCCGGGCCAGCGGGTAATACTAAAAATGGATTGCAGAATAATAAAACGAAACGCGCATATCTAGGCAGATCTCAAATGTCCACAAACGTATAGTTTTGCTCATTTAATTGAGTTTGAATAAAAATGCATCTTCAACAATGTAATTAAGTGATGATAATGACTACATACCGTGAGTCTCGTAGAAAAGTCAGCGTCTTGACTTTGTATTCTTTGATTAGAATGCTTCTCACCGACCTTAGCCTGTGGGGGTGTGATGTCCTGGGCAGGAAACGACAGTGTTTTGACTATCTTCTTTCATTAATTAACGTGTTAAGGTAATTAACCTTTACTAATTCGCTAGAAGTATTTGATACGTGTCAAATCCTATTTCGTTTAACGATTGCTCTTTTACATGTTACCTAGATCAGCGACGCTAACACATAGCTCCACTTTCTAGTTTTTAAGTGATTTACTCCGAATTACTTAATTATGCCACGTTTTGGATTGGTGATTGTTCAGTAGTGTCATGTGTGTATGTTGCATCAATAATATGTAGATATGATCGCCGATAATTAAGTAATTAGCCAATAACACTTGGCCCGTCTTGGCCCGGCCCGGCCCGACTTTTAGGCAATCCCCTAGTATATATATATATATGACTCTTGACAATCACGTTCGTGAGTAAATTATACAGCTAATCTTTGGATATATACAGTAAATGGTCAACTCTTAGATTGTGTGACATATGTCAAACGCAATTGGCACAGACCCCACATGCTTGACACATTCACACGGCAGTAATGTGACACGCGGGGGGCCATCTGCCGGAAGAAAACAGAGTCACGATATTCAAACGCATTGCACCAGGACCCCTGTTTAGAAACTTCCAGCCGTGGTTTTGTGTTTCAGCAATGTATTGTTTGCCAGAGTATGTGGTATGTTTGTAACAAGAAATAACTTTTAAAGCAAATTTTCCCAAAAATTGCGTGATTCAACAAGTTCAATTTGGTTTGGTTGGTTTGTTGTTCAACGCCGCACTCAGCAATATTCCAGCTATATGACGGCGGTCTGTAAAATAATCGAGTCTGGACCAGACAATCCCACGCAATTGGGATCGATGGCATGTATCAACCAAGTCAGCGAGTCCGACCACCCGATCCCGTTAGTCGCCTTTTACGACAAGCACAGTCACCTTTTACGACAAGCATGGGTTGTTGAAGACCTATTCTAACCCGGAATCTTCACGGGTCTCAACAAGTTCAAGGTGAGGTGAAATGAGGATAAACGTCGCTTTGAAGGGCATGCACTGGTATAGCGACGTGCATGCATACAGCTGCTGAACAAAAGTTTGTTACATTGCTATGTTTACATGGCTATGAAGACTTTATACACATATTACAAGGTTATTAATACTTTTATTGTAGCGCTAATTGGTATCAGAAGAAAGTACATTCAATAAGGAGTATTACCCCCTTTTGCTTTTCGTAGTGCCTTTATTCGTTTAGGCATCGATTCCAAGAGACCACGACAGGTATCTTTTGAGACAGAATACCAATATTTCTTTACCAAATTCCAGAGCTCCTGGCTTGATGTAGGCATTCCCTAGCAACTCTCTTGCCAATAATGTCCCAGAGAGTCTCAATAGGGCTCATGTCAGGGGAATTACCAGGCCATTCCAATAATGGTATGTTTCTGGCAGCCAAAAACACACGAGCGCTCTTGGAAAAATGGGCAGGGGCTTTATCTTGCTGAAATAGGAATGTTTTACTCGGAAATACAAGGCATTCACAATGTGTTTTGAGGTCATTGATGATCTCAGTCTGATATTTCTGGGAATTAAGAGTACCATGCACCTTTTTAAGAATACCGGTACCATTTGCTGACATGAGTCCCCAAACATGAACCTGGGGTGGGTGTTTTACGGTCACCTGTGAACAATAACTGCGGTATCTCTCATTTTGGAGACGCCTTACTTTCATCCTACGCCTATTACTAAAACATCTGAAAATAGATTCATCGGAGAAAAGTACACGGTTCCAATCTGACACTCTGAAATGTGCGTGTGCTCTTGCCCAGTCCCGTCTCAGTTTTCTGTGCCTTGCATTCAGAAGGGGTTTTCTACAAGGGACGTAACATTTCAACCCAAATTGTTGTAGACGTCTTGAGATTGTCATGTGACTGATCCGCAAACCAACACTTTTCCGCACAATACCCCTCAAAATGTTGAGAGTTGAGAATCTGTTTATCATACACTGTTTGCGTATCAATCTGTCTTCTCCTTCTGTTGTGCATCTTTGTCTGCCAGACCTGGGTGCATCAATAACATCTCCTGTGGCATCGCAAGTTTTCATCAACTTTATCATACCATGTATTGTGGAACTGCAATTGTATTTTTCGGCCATCACTTTCTGAATTTCCTTCCATTTCAGTCCAGTGTGCCTGAGGGTGACAATCCGGGTTCTTTCACTAAAAGTTAAATTTCTTTGCTTTGTCATATTTGCGGCAGCAGATATTGAAAAAATCCGTTATCTAAGACAATTCTGCAAAAGAAAACAGATCAAATCTTTTAGGGTAATGCCAATTTTTAATGGCACCGGACATCAAGTCATGAAACCCTTTGTACAGTGTAGGCATTTTCTAAGTATCTTTATATTAGATTCCAAAATGAGTATATTACATTCAAATGCAATTAATGTTTCGAAGAATTATGCAGTTTAGTTGTTTCATAAACATTAGAAAGTACATGTTCAAAAAGAATGTACTCACCGAGACAGACTGGCGATACCTGTAGAAATTACCTCCGCAACTTGAGCAGTAATTGTAATGCATCCATAATCTAACTCAATGTTCTGCATAATACCAACATTTATTTGCCTTATTTGCATGTCAAATGTGTGGACTATCTTATTTTGACAAGAAAAGACCATCTTTAATACTTTTTGGGGAAACGAATGCAACAACTGTTACGAAATTTGTGAATGTAACAAACTTTTGTTCAGCAGCTGTATGTGTTCGGCTGCCTGTCCTAGTCCGTCCTAATCAGGCCTTATGTCCGTAGTGCTAGCCGACTGAGTTCCCTTGCCCCAGTATAACATGCATACTCCACCCAGACACATTATACCGACCCCCGAGCCGGACAGCCCTTGTTTTGCTCCCTTAATGCAGAACGCCAGGCATGGAAACAATAAGTACCAACCTAATAAGTCTTTGATATAACGCAGACATGGGGTCGAACCAACAACATTCAACCGAGGAAATTGAAAGACTTACATCAATGCGTAAAAGTTTGAATCGATTTTGTAGCAATATTTTAATAGCTACAGCTACAGCATTAGATATGTTTATATCTAACATTCTCACGCATTATATTATTTCGGG